ATATATATATATATATATATATATATATATATATATAACGGGTAACGGGGCGGGGCGGGGGTAAGTGTAAGTCCATCCCTGCCTTTATTCTTGTACGAGTTTATACGAGTATTCTCGTATACGTCCACCGTCTAATACGTATAATTCATTTCTGATCTAAACGGAATAAATTTGGATGAATACCCATTTTTTTTTCAGTCTACTGACATCCCTAATTATTACCTTAAGGATGAGCATTGATGAGCCCAGTTCTAACTGGGTCAGGCTTAATTAATGAGATAAGCTTAAATTAGTTAAAAAGTAGGTCAAGCCCAATGCATGGATTCGGTTCGATCTAAAGTCCAAGAGATCCAGGAGGATAATCGCACGTAATTATCGGAATAACCATTCTCCTAGATTAATACTATCTTTAATTGAACCTATTCTAGTTGTAGTTATTCTTTCCGAAAAGCTAGTAACTTACGTACTCATCACGTCACCACCTCAACTAAATTTTGTGTCTATAAATTGTAAATCTTCTACACATGAGAGACACACCTTTTATACATCTCTACATACTACATAAAATTATCTCTCTCATAGCTATATCACCAACCTTGTCCGTGCTCTCTCTCCCCTCAACTACTTTATCAATAAGTTCCTCCGGCCACCGTTGCCATCCTTAAAATGGAATAGGTCATCCTTACACAGTTTAGAGTATGACTTCATTTTACAAAGTATTGTGTTGTGAGAAATTAGTGTTACCCGATAAGAGTAGGTTCATAAATTTAGCATGGTTGTAAGAATAGTTATCAAAAGGTACGTGTTACACTAATTTTTGATATACTTTTACTTGTTGGGTTTACGTATAACTTTTTAAGTAGAGTTTATCCCTAAGATAATATTTATTATTATTATTTTTTTAATTTTTCAATCAGGTGGAAAAAAAAAGAAATATTTTGAAGTGTTAGAAGGCCCAAAGGAAGTTTCTTTGTTTTTTTCAGGGTAAGTAAAAGGAAGTTTCTTTGTTGTTTGTGCTAACTTTCATTATTCCAGGTTATTGGACCCACTAGACAATGACCAAAAAAAATAAAGACCCACTAGACGTATACTGTTGGCTCAAGTTTTTTTTTTTTTTTCCCTCTGTTTTCTCCATTTTTTTTTTTATTACGGACAGTTCATGTTTGTATTGGTTCCTTTCTTGAATACAATGGTTTACCATCATAATTTGAACTGGATTAAAGTATATCCCTAAAAAGATAAGAGTGCCTTTTTTTTTTAATCATTTGGAAGCGTAAATCATTTGGGATAGAAGTGTATTTACAAACCTTCCCACTTTGGGATAGAAAAGAAAACATGTGGAGCTAAAATAATTCAATTTTTATGGATCTAATTTGCAAAGCTAATTTAATAATTTAATTATTTACTATAAATTAATAATGTTTGGAACTCACTGTCATGCTAATGACAATAATGAATTAAATAGACTAATTAGATCAACAATTAGTTCCGAATAGAAGTATCGAATAAGTAATTGAACTCTCTCTTTCTTCCATTTATTTTTCCCTTGAAATCTTTCAATCCAAGCAAACATTATTACCTTAAGGATGAATACTGATGAACCCACTTCAAATTGGATCAGGCGTAATTAATGAGATAAGCTCAAATTAGTTATAATGTAGGTCAAACCCAATGTATGGATTCGTCCCGGTCTAAAGTCTAAGGGATCTAGGAAGATAAGCGCATATGCGGAATAATTATTAGAATAACCACTCTTATAGATCATGATTATCTTTAATTGTACTTATTCTAATTATAGTTATCCTCTCCGAAAAACTAATAGTTTACGTACACATCACGTCACCGCCTCAACTAAATTTTGTGCCTATAAATTGTAAATCTTCTGTACATGAGAGACACACCTTTTATATATCTCTACATCCCACACAAAACTATCTCTCTCATGGTTACATCACCAAGCTTGTCCGTGCTCTCTCTCCCCTCAACTACTTTATCAATAAAGTTTTCCAATCATCATTGCCGTGCTTAAAGTGGAATAAGTTATCCTGATCAAATCACTCTATATCTATGTGTTGTTTGTGTTGACCCAATCTTTACTTTCTATTATTAATTGCTTTATTGATTGTTTCATTAATTATTCTGATTTATAGACTCTACTGTTGATTGTGTATAAACCTATTTTGTGCATCTTCCAGTATAATAAACAAATTTCCTTCAAATTGTAAGCGAAACTATCACGTTTTTTTTTTTTCAAGTTCCTGGTTGATATGCCGTTTTGAGAGATAGAAAGCTGATGACAGTTTTGTGACTTTTTGGTCACAATCAAGTTTTTTGTTTTTTTTTTTGCTATTGGAAAAAGCGATGGGGTAAAGGAGAGCCGTCAGAGACCAATTCAATAAGTCTTCATTGGTGGGATCATGAGGCTTTTGACCACACTCGTTCCTCCTCTTAAAAATGAACCTAATTAGGCTAACATAAGAGTCAACCACTGAACGACAACTTGACGACGAGGTCCATCACAATCAAGTTTTCACTACTTGTTCACACGGGATTTCACATGGCATTGTCTTAATTAACAACAGGACAAGACCACTATATTGGAAAAAAAAAATTTGGTATCATATCTCTAAATTTTATAATTTTAATGAATATTTTTATAATTTTTGTAGGTTATTTTACAATAAAAATTTTATAAATTTTCAAATCTAAACCATCTGTGTGTCCTTATTGTATTGTGTATAAACAAGACTATGAACTTTATTATATAGATATGACCGTCATACTTACAACAGAAGGGGTCCTCCAAACCATATGGGGAAGGACCCAATGCCAATATGATCAGTAGTGCTATAATTTTATGGTCTACAATATGAAAATTCCTATCCCCTTAAAGATTATTTTATACTGCTTTTTAATGAAACTAAAGACATTTGGGTTTATAATCGTGCTTTCTCTATAAGTTGACTAAAAAAGACAGTCTAGTGCATAAGATTTTTGACACTATGAGAGATCTGAAGATGATAGATATATACTCAACTTTATGTTTGCATATTAATAGATTATTTTTATGAGTCAAACTTATGATAC